AGCGAAACTGCTTCACAATGATGATGTTTAGTGAGTGGGCTTTTTAATTTTAATTTGTATTTAAAGCAGAAAAAAGTATAACGAGTTTTAATAATGGCAACTTAAGCGAAAATAATTAGAGTTAATAAACCAATATCTAGAAACTTTTCTTTATATCTAATTATTTGCTATATATATTTGTGTTCTGTCGTGACCTCAGGCGCGATGCTTGTTCATCCGCGAGTTACTTTGTATGCGTTGTTTGTGTTTAGTAACCATAATACTTTAGAACTTTATTTCGCTTAATCAACGTATTTTTTGAACCAATAGAATTAGTTTGTTTGTTAATTTGGCGGTTTTTTAGTGTTCGCAAAAATTATTTTTATTCTTTCGCACAAAGATGTTTTGAGAACATTTAAGTTTTTTATGTTTTTTTTATGCAATTAGTTATTGCTATTTAGTTTTTTTTTTTTGTCCGACGGTTTTTCTAAATTTCAAACAAATATTAAGTTTAAAACCCTTTTTAAATTTATTTCATAAAAATTTTAACATAATAGCTTTTTAATGCTTATAGAAACCAGTACCTTTTATTACACTATTAAATTTGAGTAGTTATGTAACGTTTGTTTTCACACTAAAAATGTTTGCTATTAAAAAAGTTTATAAAATTATTCCTAGAAAAAGTTTGAAAAGATTTATAAAAAAATACATATTTATATAAATCTAATTATTTGTAATATAGGGGAGGTAGGGGAGCATTGGGCACTTTTTTACATAAACGCTAATAAATCTGGTATTTTTTATCATAATCAAAATTTTATTTCAAATATATCTAGCACACATATTTAGCATTAATTATTGCTAAGAAGAGTTTTAGTATTATAATTAGTTGCAAAGTTACAAAAGATTTTCTAACACGTGTCCAAAGTGCCCAAACCTCCCCGTAGTTGGGAGGTTTGGGCACCCCTATGGGGAGGTTTGGGCACTGTATTTAATATAATTGATATTGTTTTACTATACTCATATGCTTAAGTGTTATATAGCATTGCTATAAAAATTTGTAACACAAACATTTTTTCATATCATAGACTTTACAAAAGATTAAACAATGTTACTTGGAATCAATACTCCACAATGTTGTACCTAATAAGACTTATCTTAAATTTGGTATGACCCAAAGAGGCTTGTCAAATTTATATTTTAAGCTGCCACATTTTATCCATGTTGATGGTGTAGGCAATTTTGTCTTTATATCCTCCAGGAGGACGCTGGCTATGTCCTCGATGTCAGGAAACATAAACGTATTTCTTATCTTACTTGCTCTCATGAATTTGACAGTTGCCATGGAACGATTAACCTCTTCGAAAATTCCAACATAATGATAAACAGTTTTTTTGGTGTCAAATTTAACCAACACAAAGTTATTAACCTGGAAATTTCTATCCAGAACAATCACATCGTCTACATCAAAATCTTCTTCTGATGAATCAATTTCAACAAGGGCTTCGTCAGAAACAGAAACATTTTTTATTTCATCATCACTACTAATCTTCCTGTTTTTCTCATTTTTAGAGCATTTTTGATTTTTGTTGAGCTCTTTGATCTTATTTTTTCTTTTTTTTTTTCTTCTTCAATTTCTATAAGTCTTCTCTCAGGTGTGTCTGTCAATATTCTAGTTTTTCCTTTCTTCCGTTTCATGCCACCCAATTTCCTGGGGCCGGCTTTCGGATATGGTCTTACTAAATCAGGTGTTACATTGACAGTGCCACTAGTCTGGCTTTTAGATAGAGATTCAAGTTGAGATGGCCCAGTTACTTCTACATTCAAACTTGTACGATCTTCTAGTCTCAGATTTTCTTCTGTTGAAGGCTGTTCCATGATAGGTTGGTCTGAAATCGATTTTTCTGTAGCAACATTATTCTCTTCAGGCAAGTAGCAATCAGTTATAGAAGAACAAACAAAATCTTCATCAGAGAAAATGTTTGAATTGAATGGCCAAATGCCAGATTTTTTAAATCCCCTTTGAATATTTTGCAACTTGAATGCAAGTGATGGCCTTTGCTGCTAATTTTGGGATTTCATAAATTGTTACCGTTTTGCCAGGATTGCTCACCATCCAATCTGTTACAGCAGTGTTATAATAAGTTTTGAGTGGTTCATAGACAGTCAGGTCTAGGGTTTGCAGTTTATGGCTGCAGTGCGGTGGGAAAGTTATTAAAACAATGCCTGATTCTATACAAAAATCGAGAACTGGTACTGAAATATGGGTCTCGTGGTTGTCCAGCAGCAATGGAACTGGTGATGAAGGCGTTGGTTTTGCGTATTTTTCAAAATGGTGTATATATTTTAAAAAACTTGGTGCTGTCATCCACCCTGAAGGATGTGCTGCTCCATCTGAACCAACAGGTGCATCATTTAACATATATGTTTTGAAAATAACTCGTGGGAATATGAAAAAGGATGGTATTGAGTTACCCAATGCATTAATGCCGCAGCAAACAGTTACAAGTGTCCCTCTTTC